CATGCAGCAGCTTGATGGTAAGGACAGCTCTATTAGTGATGACTAATATCAAACTCAAAATTATGGCATGCCCTGTCTGTGCGTAATTTGAAGATGTTTTAAATTATTAATTCTGACACTTAGATTGAAAAAGTGCCTGAAGAAATTAAAGAATAATCGTGGGAAATCTTAAACGTATTAAGGCTGGATGAAGAAGAAAAAACTAAGTTCCATTCTATCATATTCAGGAAAATACTACAAGAGAATACTCTTGGGGTTTAAACTCTTATACTTCACCGAGATAGTTATAACTATTGAAAAATAATAACTCACATTTGCTCCTTGCACATGCAAAGCATCTTATTGTACACCTCAGCAATAACATTGATAAACTTGATGTGCTCACTTCGCAGCTCTTTGTAGCATCTTTCTTCAAGATACTTTGCAATCTGATCAAGAAAAGCATGTGTAAAGGCTGCAAATTTTACCGAAAGGGATTACATCCACAGGCAGTGAAGAAAGCCACTACCTTCGGGATTCTGAAAGGATTTTTCGCTGCATATTCACATAATTTCACTATTTTCCTTTCATTAGGCGAGCCATCCTGCATTCACAAGTTGCAGAGCAATTGAATGTTGCTATCACAAGTACCAACAAAGCAGATTCATGGATTGACTGTGGTTACTCTTTATATCTTTTCTTCTCAAGCATAACAAGGCAGTTACTCCCTCCATTCACTTTTACACGTCACTTTTAACATATCAACGAAAAGACAAATATCTTTTTCCGTGTTTTACGCTTAGCATTACTTAATTCCGTAAATCACCTAAGAAAATACATCAATTAACATGGGTATTAAGGTAAACAATTCATATTAATTATTATTTCTGAATGAGCATGGAAAGTTCAAAGTGGACAAGTGAAAGTGGAGTATTAGTTAGACCTCAAGAAAACTGAAATCAGTGTACTTACTGGTGATTTGGGGAAGATTTCAGCTAGCAATTTCTTGTAACGCTTAACGGGTTGTCGAGATCGAGACCTCATAGCAGGACAGCAAATGCACATGTTCCCACATGCTGGGAATAACTTCCGTGAAATAAATCCCATTTTCCTTCAATTTTCAGAATAAACAAGTAAAATTTCTCAGTGATAATAGGTAGAACAAAAGAACCCAACCAAGAATAGCATACATACACAACCTTACTGACAAGATAGAGAAGCATTAATCAACCTTACAAAAACAAGAATTGAACATTTAAAAGAAAAAAACCAAAGAATCCCAAGAAAAAAACACCAAGAATTCCAAGAAAAATAACACCAAGAATAAAAAAAAACCCAAGAACAGGAAGAATAGCCACATACACAACACAACCAACTCAAAACTCAAGCCAAAATCAAAATGCAGTAAAGAGAAAGATCGATCAACCAACAAGAAACGGTAACAAAAGTAAAAAAACTTCTGATAAACAGAGGCCAAAAGCGTGAAAACCAAGATTATTAATGACAAGACAGAGAAGCATTAATCATCCTTACAAAAACAAGAATTGAACATTTAAAAAATAATAATAACCCAAGAATCCCAAGAAAAATAACACCAAGTATCAAGAAGAAGCAATAACCCAAGAATCCCAAGAAAAAAAACACCAAGAATCAAAAAGAAGCAATAACCCAAGAATCCCAAGAAAAATAACACCAAAACTCAAAAACAAGCAATAACCCAAGAATAGGAAGAATTACAAGGACAATATACACAACAAAAACTAGTAAAAAAAGTAAAATTAGCATACCTTCAACTACAGAAGGAGATCTTGGAAGTGAAAAGGGGTTTCAAGAACTCCAACAAAGGTTTCAACTTTGGTAGAAAGAACAAATGGGAAGTGAAGAAACAATGAAAAAAAATCAATTTCAAGAAACCAGACAATAACAAAGTAAGCGCGTGGATTTTAAGGAAGAAATCTTAAAAGGAGGAAAGAACAACATGGGGTTTTTCAAGAATCAAAGACTGGTTAGTAGAGTAGTAGAGTGGAAGAGAAAGAGAGAGATCACGTGATTGTCAGGTCACTTATTTGTGTTAAAAGAGACTTTTTTTTTTCTCTACTGTCTGTCGCCTCTTCCAACACAGGTCAGGTCCCCCTATATACATACCCTTTTTCTTTCCCTTCTATAGTTTTCTCTTTCAAATTTTTGAAATATAACTACTTTTAATACTACTTCCCTTTTTAAAATTTTTTGCTTCCAATGGTCTTTGTTGACTCTTCTCTTTGGACCAACAAACCTGATAGTTTACGTGTGAAACTCACATTTTCAATAATTTTAATAATATTAATAGTTTGTTTAATTCTGTCAGTATATAATATTTTATTCATGTAGAATATCATATGCATATTTTTTTTTAAAATAAAAGAAAGTGTATTACATATATCATTGAGATGTGATTTCCAAATTAATAAGTGATAGTTTATGTGTGAAACTCACACTTTCAATAATTTAGTTATGAAACTCAAAAAAATAAAATTAGGTATATTTCTTGACTCTTTACTTTATTAATAATAATGAATTTATATTACTAGCTTTAAGATTGATATAATAAAGGAAATTAAAAAAATCAAATTCAATTTCATCTTAGTAAGCTATTGCTTAGTATAACTCTAAGTCAATTCAATTTCAGCCGAGAGTTTAATAATTTTGAAAAAAGAAACAATGTGATAAATATTTAATTAAAAAATTAATATTAATAATTAATTATTTTATTACATACAATTTGCATCATAATCTTCACAAGTTTTTGTTTTAGTCTCTGTAATTAACTTGTCCCAAATTAATAGCTCAACAACATTGATTATTTTGCTTGTTTTGAAGTAATTGTCAAAAAAAATAAAAATTAAGCTAATTAACTAATGACGACATTATATTTTAACCTAAAAACATAACAAAGAATAAAATTAACCTATTTCATATCATTAAAAAAAAATGACCTCCTTAATTCCCACTCTTGGTGGGAAAGAGGTTTGAAGGAAAGGGATTCTGATGGTCTGCAAAATTTTGAATTATGAGTGAGTACTTTTTAACTTTATTATATTTTTTGGTGGAAAATATATATTTGGTTGAAATATCCAATCAATGTTAGTACTATGTTTAATAACTTTGTAGATGAAAACAACTACACATACCTTTTTCTTTTCTGCAAAAAGTATATAAGATAAATAGTATTTTTAGTTACAACCTTTATATCCAAAATGGTCACTTAAACACCTAGGTTAACTATGTACTTTTTACTTTATATTAAGCGTAAAGTTCACTGATTATGGAAAAGAAAAAAGTGTCTAATTTAAACAGTGTTAAAAGATTAATTGAAAAATAATGTTAAACAATATAATATAAAACAGTTTTTCTTTTGTGAGCACATCAAATGTTGATTTTGCTACCTAATAAAAGATTAATTGAAAAATCAATGAAAAGACTTAATAGTTAAATATCAGAGTTGTTCATGCAAAAGATTAATGGATTATCTAATAATTTTGTCAATCTCAAGTAAACATCAGTGTGAATAACACGTTATGCCACAATTGTTTATAAATTTGTTTAGCAAAACACTTCCAAAAACAATCAGCCAAATTACATTATTAATTAGATAGAGTAATAACTAGTCAATGTGCTATGAGGGAGACTTCTTATTTTAATTTAATAAACATAGTATGTGAGTGTGATTGTTCCAATTTTCATTCATTTGTTTTTAAACAATTGTAGTAATGGTGCTTAAAATCAGCAGCGGAGTTGTCACTTCATTGAAAAATTATATTGTTTAATACTTAGTAAGTAATTTTAGCGACTAATCAACAACTAGATCAAAATGATTTTATACAATAGTAAAGCTGGAGGATATATAACCTAGAAATGGGCCTCAACTGCCCATTGCCAACCCTATTAAATAATATAAAAGGTACATATCAAGAAGATGAATTGAAAGATACGTATACTATATTTACTTGAATATGGACCCTTCTCAGTTCATCAATTCCCCTGGACCACAAATCTCACTCATTCCACCAGTATTCACCTATCACTAATGATTGACTAATTAAGTTGGCCATGCATATTTAGACCAAGTCCCAAACAACTCAAATGCTTACATTATTACGTATTAACTTGATATTCTCCATTTGGATTTTGGACCACCTTTATAAAGGACAAATAATAAAAAATCATTTTCTCCAGCACAGTAAATGTCTGATTTTGCAGGTCACAACAGCAACTTTAAGATGGCATCCATAAGTTGGTTTCAGTCTCCTAATGTATGCTACATGATAAAAGTGATGGTTTTTCCACACCAGAAGATCAACTCCATAACTGATGTTAATTTATAATTTAAGATCAAAGTTTACAGCTTTAGAATTGGGATTCTTGGTTTCAATTTCTCAGCTGGAATATACTGAGTGTGCCTTGACATATTCCCAGGAACAAGAAAAAGAACTGAAGAATGACAATATTGAATATCGAACGGAGTAATATTCAGCACATCATTACAGCTTAGACAGACATTCCTTTAGACAAAAACTTTCATCCTTGAGTTCCACAGCTCAGCAGCATGACTGTTCTGAATACCAATTATCCCTACGTACCCACATCCGCCACCTTTGCTATGGACAATGTCACCAAACACCGGATCGTCGAGTTCACCCTCAGCACTTCCATCCATGTTCAGCCTGATCTTATTGGTTCTAGAGGAGACCAAGAAAGGTTTCTTCTTATACTTTTGTTCACTATTACAAGTACAAATTCACAGAGCATTTCCACTCAGAAGGCACAAAGTAGATTATGTGTGATTCATCCCACTTTCAATTGAGCGGGACAAAAGACTCTGTTATCAGATATATAAGTGGCTTTATGAAGCTACTTTCCACATACTAGAAATCTTGGTAAATGGAGCATAGGCACAATGATGCTAACTGGATTGGTAACTGTACAATGAACAATTTAAGCTGAAGCCATAGATTATGCCAGCTGGATTATGCGAGAAGAATCAAAGATGATATGGAACACAACCATTTCTTTGCAGTTACCACATGAATCTCTACAAATAAAGTCCAAGTGCCCATCAGTATCAGGGCTGTGAGAGCTCTGTTCAGCAAGCACTTAGATGTTGAATCTTCTCACGTACTGCGTTGTAGCACTGGAGACTGCAGAGAGGCAGTTTTGATTTGGAGTCTCTGTATTTGTATGTATTCATACAAGATGGACCGGCACATTTCTCGCGAGGAGGTGGATAGCTGAATACCCAGATGAAACCCAAATCAACAGGTTATATAAATTAGTGATCAGTAATTTAATAAGAGGGAAGGGTGGAGGTGGGGTGGGGGTGGGGGGGGATTTGAATATTAGAAAAAGGTCCTCGAGCATCCAAACTTCAAGAATAAGCATTAAGTCCTACAGATCATCACCTGCAAGCCTTAGGTTCAAATATGCTTGGGAGTCCCATCTCATTGGGAAATATCACAACAGAACCAGAAGGACCCATAACCCATTTGATAGCATTTGATGATAGTGAAGTAGCTGTTGCAGTTCTTTCCTGAATGCATAAAAATATGCACAAAAGAAAATTTGTGACGTATAAACTAAAGAGTATAAGTGCAGAAGAAAATTTAACATTGCAACCTTTAGCTCCTCAACCAGGAAATATTCTCTTGAAAGAGCAGCAGCTTCACCCTGATGATTTAGAATACATGGAAATGGGTAAATGGCCACACATGATCTGGAAGTGGTCATCTAAGGATGTCATAGGCACTTTAAAAGACAGATGATGCAACACTCTTCAAAAGGAGTAAGGAGCAGAAGGAGGGAAGAAGCTCGTTTTGCCATTGCTGGGGATGGTGACCCAAGGAAAGTGGGACTAACTGAATGAACAAAAAGGAAGTATTCCTATAGATGGTCAAGAAGGAAGGGAGAAGACTGGAAAAAGAAAGAAAGAAGAAACATAAAAACAAAAACATAAAAGTAGAAAACAGAAGACAATAGGTGTGCTAGATTTCGACCCAAAAAACAAGTGCTTGGGAAATTTCCAAAAACTATAAAGTAGGAGAGGCAACATCAAACTAAAAAAATTCAATTCTTTACTTGTGTCGTACTCTCACCTGTGCTAACTCCTCTTGTCGCTTCTTAATTTTATCTTCTCGCTTTTTCCTACTAGAATCTTGACTTAGGATTTTCCTTACTGCTTCAGCCTACGAAAAGCTATATATGGTTAAACCACTTACATAGCTGTATGAAACTATTTGGACAATGAAAACACATAAGCACATAAACTTGAGTAAGGTGTATAAACCTCCGACTCTAGAGCAGCCTTTTCAGCTTGCATCCTGCGTCTTTGAGCAGCCTCAGCTTTCTTCAACTGCTGTTCCACTTCAGAGAGCTTCTCCTTTTGTTCTGCAACCAGATTAAGCTGAATTTATCAGCTGATCCTCAGTTGAAATATGTAAACCATAGAAGACGGAGAGAATACTCACTTTTAGGTGGTGCAGGTGGAAGTCCATGGGGAACCTCAATTGCACTCAAGCCTGCACTGCAAGAAATATCTTTTCCAGTTTGAAGTGCTTGCTGGCGAGTAGTCACGGCCATTTTTCTCCTTTCAATTACTGAGATATCAGCTAATTCCTTTAGTTGTTTCTTCTTCTTGGGTACTAACTCAGTATTAGAAACCATTGCCTCTTCATAGTCTGAATCCTGGGATGCTCTTTCAGATTTGGATTTCTTAATCCCTTTAACTGCTTTAAGCGAATTGTAATCACTCAGATCTGCACCATAAACATTGCTACTTTGACTTAACACCCTTGATATCTTCCGCTCTTTTCTGTATCCAACTTCATCATCATCCTCATAGCCAGCACTATAACCAGCAGAGTATTTGGAAAACCTGAGTTTCTCCAGGTAACGGATCTCATCATCATCGTCATTCTCAGTGTCTTCATCATCGAATGTTTCACCTGATAAATGTCTTTTTAGCAGAGACTTGCTTTTATGAGCTGCCTCGTATTTTCCTAATTGTTTCAAAGGGGCAATTTGCCCAGGTAACTGATCCGTAGAGGAATCCACTTTCCCAATGCCAAAACCAATTTTAGCAAAATCCTTCCAGGGGATACCTCGCAATCCAATTGCCTTTCCACTATAAGAGAAATGATGTCCACCTGTATTCTGCTGTGGAATAGAAGAAGAAAACCTAAATTAGCCTCCAAAAGACATCAATCATCAGTACCTTGAGGAATCTAAACAGAAGTCTTTCTGCAGACTGCTGAGGAAGTGGTCTTATAGGTGACAAGTCACATTCTTCTGGACTTAGTTGGTGATTTAATGTTAAGACATTTATCAAGGAAAAATAACATGCAAATTTGGATATTACAGCCATGAAAAGGAGAAAACTACTTAAAGGATCTAAAAAATTGCTGACAAATTGGATATTACATCCATGAAAAAGTGAAAACTACCTAAAGGAGCTAGAAAAAATTGCTGATGGACAGGCAACGGGAACTCTAGAAAAATTTCAATATAACAAGTACATTCAAGACAACTTAGGGAAAAGTTCATAAATAAGAAAGACCAGTTAGGTCACAGTGCATCTAGTAATACCTATTGTATGCTGCACCATTTCTTTAGCGTTATACCAAGGTGCATCCCCAATCTGTATGATGCACTTCCAAAGTTTCATAAAGCAAATGTGTATAAAGGAGCTATCACACAGGAAAATAAATAATGACCTTGGGTTGCCATTTTTGAGGGGCATCTGAAGAGGACGAAGACTTTGTTGAAGAGGATCCGGCAACAGAAATGTTTATTGTTCTTGTAACACCACCAACTTTGAGTTTCACTTTCTTGACTTTGGTGTCATTCCCAGCTCCATCTGATACTACTCCTGGCAGTCCAGAATGGTTACTGCACATCACAGTTCCGCTTTTGGGATCCTCTGCCCGAGATGTTGTTAGGTCTCCTTCACTAAATCTACTCATATCTATCTGACCATCCTTTTGCTCGGTATCACTGGAACAGGAGTATCCGGAGTTACCACCTTCAACACCAAGCTCACCGGCAGCCCCAGCTTCACTGAGGTAACTATAAGATGTTCTTGAAATATTACCATAATCAGCATTATCACAACTAGACGCTTTGCTCAAACTATCAGATGGTGGCGTTGACGAAATGGATGAATTATCACGACAATCCAGATTCAACTGGGACTCCTTTTGAGGCCGCCGATATAGATCAGTTCTCTGTTTCCTAAATGTGTTGCCCAACCCAAAACCGCTGAAGTTCTCCATAGAAATAGAGAGATTAGGCAAAATGCTAGCCAGAAGACTCTGGCGAAGTAACACCAATTTTTTAGGCCAAATTAAAATAACAGACTCTAGATAAATGTAGCCAAAATAGCAAAGATGTTCTTGATAAAGTGTAACACTTCATAGTATCCTTTCAAGTCTAAGAACAACTTCTTTCCACTCAAAAGCAAGAACTTTCACCATGAATTGAAGTCTAATTTTAAAAAGGGAAACTAATAATAAAATATCGCCCTAAATCATCGTTATCCCTCGAGAATACATCAAAGAACCAAGAAAATAAAGCCAAGATTGAAGCTTTACCTTCTGGGTATTGTCAGGACCCTTGAGATAAAACCCTCAAGAACCCTAATAACATCGGAGACGGAGGTACGAGCGTTAACCGGCGGTGTTGCTGTATAGTTGAGAGAACCACGTGGCGACTTCCTAATCACCTTCTTGCTCCCCAGCCCCAGGTAGTCTATGCTCGGTAATCACAACCAAAATGCTCCTTTTTCAGTTTAAGTATTATTTTCCTTTTAAGTGGGAATATTTTGGGACGATTTCAAATTCAAATCATAATTTTTAAGAAAATTAAAATGTAAAAGTTTGATCCATGAGTTTCTTGTTTAAACAGAACTCATTATTTTAATTTTTGCAAGAAATAGTTTATAGGGAAAAGGGTCAAAATTACCCCTCAATTTTGTTTTATTAATTGACTTTACCCCTGCCGTTAAAAGCAAGTTATTTTTACCCCTATCGTCAATAAACTTAACAAATATACCCCTCATTGGATGGAAAGCCCCAAATCAATTAAAATTATCCGATTTTACTTAAATTACCCAATTTTAACCCGATCCGACCCACTTAATAATATACCCGAAATTTCAACCCAAAATTTCAACCATTTACAAGAAATCATTTTTTTCGCGTTCGCCATAAACCCTGTTTTCCATTCCCTTTGATCAACGGGATACTGCTCCGTAACAGCCATGGGATTAAATAGCCAAAACAAGTTAAGATTACTGATGAAAAAAGTGCTTTAGGAAAAGTTTTTTTCGGGTTTTCAACTTCACCAACCAAAGTACTCACATTATAACAAAAATTCAAATTTCAAAACAGTGAATTGAAGAACATATTCCAATCCTTCTTCACCGCTTTTTGCCCTCAACTGATCCACTATGGGGCTGAATCTTTGGAATCGCAATCAAACGACATTATAATGAAAGGTTCAAGTGATACAATCCCAAGAACAACAACAACATAACCCACAATAGCTAATCCAGTATAATTCAAAAACGATAACAATAACGTAGATACCGAAATAGCCATATATCTCGATAACCCAGAACTAAAAATTGGGAAAAGCTTCTCCATATAACTAATACACAAAATAGGAAAAAATGCAATGTTGATAACACCTCTCCGAGATCTCCTTCACCACCATCGCCGAAACCACCACCTCTCCTACTACTCTACCTCGTCCAAGTCAACAGCCCTATCAAGAGTCAATTTCTTGCTTTGTAAGACCAAATCCCTTATGTGTTTCCCAGAAAAAGTTAACTCGAGGAACAAGTGAATGAAACCTCGTACAAACTCCACAACAATCTTGTTGAAAATCAAGAGAAGAACTGGATAAGATTGATGGTTGAAGTGGTCAACATGTTTTGGGTAGATTTGACCTCAGATCTAACTTTGAAAATCGGGTATATTATTAAGTGGGTCGGGTCGGGTTAAAAGTGGGTAATTTAAGTAAAATCGGATAATTTAATTGATTTGGGGCTTTTCATCCAAGGAGGGGTATATTTGTTAAGTTTATTGACGGCAGGGGTAAAAATAACTTGCTTTTAACGGCAGGGGTAAAGTCAACCAATAAAACAAAGTTAAGGGGTAATTTTGACCCTTTTCCCTAGTTTATATTCGCATGAAATATTATTCGTACCACATGAACAAGATTATATTAAAGAATTACTATTAGTTATCATATATATATATACTATATAAGTATGGCCCGTGCTATCACGGGCCCAACGCTTGGTATTATTAGGGGCATAATATTGCAGAGTATAGAAACACCATTACATATTATTTGTTGCGATTGTTTTTTTTTTTAAAAAAATACAAGTTATAATGAGAGTAATCATGATGGGATAAGTTATGTTGCGATTATTTCTTATTGCTTGTTTGGTTTATTGTATACAAAATAATATGCATTGCGTAAATTTTAAGAACAAATTATTTGTTTATAAAAAAATATCATTCATTTTATTTAGTTTTTTTTATATGTTCTTTACAAGTATTAGTTATGCATTTTTAAAAATTAAACTTTCAAATTATTTGTGCGCATTCCCATGATGCTACCGTATATATTTAAAAATAAATTCTTGTTCTTATTTACCTAAAAATAGAATTTTCATCTTAGTTTGTTAAAGTAAAAGAGAATTTATGAAAATCAAAATATAAATAAACATAAAAATTACACTATATTTATAATATAATATTTTAATTATATTTTTATAGTGCAATTTTTTAATTGTAAAATATGAAGAATTATCATAAAATAATTTTAAATTATATTTATATAGTGTAATTTTTAATAGAAAAATATGAAGAATTGTCATAAAAATAAAGAATAGCGAAGACTATTTGATGTCACAGCTTACTTCTGGACCGTCTTTAATCAAAATCACTTGTTACATTTGAAATGAGGATGAAATGTCTAATTTCAATAATTCTAGAAAGTCAAGGTTCAAATTTAAAAGATCAATGAATGGTAAAAATATCATGTTCAATTCAGACAAATACTTTTTGGTAACTGTAATTTTTATTACCAGATATGTCAATATGTACAGATTTGAAACTCAAGACATGGACATAATCCCAATCTCAAAGCTCATCTACCTTAAATAAATAACCACTATTCTACTATACTATAGATAAAAATTAAATCTAAGCATAAATTCAGCCAGTCCCTCTATAATGAATTTCTAGTATGATGTTTCTGATGATCACCTCTGTGGTCATCTCCTTATACTGAAAAATTCTATAGTTGCTCTCTTGCCAAATAAAATACACTGCACCTGATAGGTTCATTCTATATACTTCAGCTTGCATTGGTTTACATGTGGCATGTACTATAGCCCAATCCATCTCTTCAGCCTACCCTGTGCTGCTTCTGTTAATGCATTGCCAATTTAATAGTTTCAGACAAAGATTATTTCATCTTTCCATCAAGTTTCAATCTAAAATGCAACAAGCAACAAAGAAGACAAAGCACCACTCCAACAAAAAATTCTATGGAGGTAAGAAGTGCAGGTGACTGAGGAATAAAACAAAAAAAAGCACATAAACATACACTCCAGAAATAGTTCATATGAAAATTGAAATGAAGATGAATTGGTAATAACCTCGTCTTCTTTGTCACAAGAAGTACTCTAGACTTAGAATGAAGATGAATCAGTAATAATCTCATCTTCTTTGTCACAGGAAGTACTCAAGACTTAGGCTAGAATTTAAACTGTCAAAGAAATAAAGGGGTACAAAACTTCATCAAATGGTGCAAACAGACGGGAGGAGTAAAGTGACTAATGAAACTCGAAAATACTTAGAACCCAAATACAGTTACTATATGGCGAGATTAGGTTTCAACATAGTATAATCCTTTCATTAATTTACAATTAGAGAAGTATCAATCTAAACCTCGCAGTTCTTCAATCTGATCAAGAAGAGAAAAAATTACATGCACAACTTCTGGATGAACATTGATATTTCAGTGTCTAATAAGCATTTAATTTGAGCATATTGAACAAGCTTAAGGATAAAAGCACCAGAAAACACAAGTTTCTTGAGAAAAAAAACACAAAATGTGTAATAAAGAAGATGTCAAAAAGCTTTATATTCTAATAGATATAGCAAGAGTGAGAAGAGGTCAAGCAATTGTAACTCCTAATTCAGTAGCATAACATCAGACAACACTTAGCTAACCTAACCAAAAAATAAATAAAAATAGACCGTATCAGCGTTTGGATGCTATTCAATAAGCAAAGACACACATATGTATAGGCAAAGTGACTAAGTATCATGAACACCTTAACAAATAGTGCTCCACCAAACACTACCAATTAAGCATATAAATAATCTAAAGTGTAAGAGAAAAAATATTAACCATGTTCTTACCACGAGAAAATGATGAAAAAACAAAGAGCACTGCATTTGAGATATTAACATTATATTCCTATTTACTTAAAGCTTAAGTAGGAGTATTAATATTTTGGTAAGCAAATAGGATTTTATTGAACCTCAGATTTGTTTTCATGAAATTTAATTTGCATAACTTAAAGCCCAGCTAGTACCTACCATATAGAAATTATAACATTTATTCAAGAAAGCGATTGCCTTTGTTGTGATGCTCTCTAGCAGGAGACCAACCACTTAAAGTTAAGATTGATTAGCTAATAATGGTCCTTGTATATATAGTTTCGCAATCTTGATAGATATCCAATAGAAAACATGAAGAACGTAATAGACAACGGAGTAAGCGAAAGCATATAAAACCACATGCTATTATTTTATAAGCTTGCTAAATTAGGTAAAAGTAAGTATCAGGCAAAGATCTCCACCAGAAAAGAACCCAAAAAAATGCCAAAAACTACATGAAGGAATTTCCACTATAACAAGCAATCAAAAACACATAAAAGTCCATAGTAGACTAAGGTCAGAGCATATTACCTTGATATCACTTCCACAAAAAAGTATGTATTCATAAATCTTGTACGCTGATAAACAGACAACACTACAAATACTGATGAGAGAGCAAGCTCATGTCCTATTCCATCCTATTTAACCTGCAAAACACGAAATCAAAATGCATCAATGACTATTTAAGATACTATAATGTTAATAAGATTAAATGCATCAAGACACAATTCCATGAAGCACATCTAGACCTATCAGCCACTCATACCTCCAAGGAAATAATCAACAACAAGCTAAGTATATAATCAATAACAAGCTAAGAATATATACTGGATTAAATTGATGTCACGACCCGATTTCTTGAGTCATGATGGCACCTACTATACCCTACCAGTAGGTAAGCCAACCCGAAACCCAGAACATTAAGCAATGAGCAAAAGGGCAGAAACTAGCGAAAACAATAATCTAAACAAGGATAACAAAGCGGAAGCAACCCAAAATAAATATATACAGAAATCCCTCCGAGAACCTGGAAGTCACTAGTACAGAGCTATCTGATAAAGAGTACAAGTTCCAAAAGTGGACCACAACAGAGCGTGTCTCAAAGGCAACAAGACTAGCTAAATCAAAAGAAGGAGACAGAACAAACCCCAAAACGTCAAGTGCTCGCCCTCGTCTCCGAATCACAACTGCAAAAGGAGGCTGGAACTAATCACCGCTGGTAACTGGTACTGGGACCTGCATCACGAAATAGATGCAGAGCGTAGCATGAGTACCAACACAACAGGTACTCAGTAGGCATCAAAGGCCGACTGAGCAAAAAGGGTAAAAACAGTAAGAAAGGATAGAATCTAGACACAGAGAGGTCAAAGCGAATATGAAAAGAAAGCACACGAGCATACCAGAAACAAACTAAGTACAACTAGACTAAACCTAACTGGACCCCCATAAGCCCAGAAGGTACACTCGTGCACAAGTTTAAATAAAACCTGAACGAACCCCCATAAGCTCGACAGGTACATGGAAAAGCTAAGTCTACTGAGAAAGAAGAAAATTTAGGCTACCAGCCCAAAGTAACTAAGATAATCCATCAGACTCCACCCAACCAGTGCACTCCCAGCCCAGCTAGAAAGAGTGACCCTAGGGGGCACCAAACCAAACAGTCCGCTCCCAGCCCAGCTAGAAAGAGGGACCCGTGAGTGAGGTAGATATCGCGAGTCGTCCTATCGTGCAGTCAGCTCCCAGCCCAGCTAGAAAGAGCGACCCGGGGACACCTAGCCAGCAGCACACTCCCAGCCCAGCTAGAAAGAGAGGCCCGGGGGCGATCGCCGATATCACCGAGTCTACCCAGCCAACGATACGTTCCCAGCCCAGCTAGAAAGAACGACCCCGAGGGTGATGGTATCTCCAATAGGATCCAATCCCACAACAACCATCGTGGAACGCCGTCCACTCTAAGAAATCACAGAAAAGGCTCCAAGCCTATACTATCTCAATCCCACACCTCTGGTGATGCACTAAACCTTCGAGAATGCGTCGGAACCGCAGAATAAGAGGGAGAAGATACAGAAGTGCAACAAGTAGCGATAACGCCTAATCTAAGGCTCAAACTATCAGACTCAAGTCTGCTATTCTAGTCTACAAGGAGCTAAGTCATCCGAACGACATCGGCAGAAAGTCAAGGCTATCCAGCCCACACGGGTCATAAGTCTAAGGCAATGCTAGCCTAACCTAGACTAAGGCATACAATACAAAGCATACAAGTATACAATAACGTTTAGCACATAGACATGCAACTCTACTAAACCGGATAACATGATACTATACCCGAAATGTGGCCAATCGATCCTAACATAAGGTATCTAATCAAAGTAAGGTAGTAAACTAGTATCCACCCCCAATTCACTCCAATCGACATGTTTTTACACAATTAAGCTCAATCTAAAATAAAGGAAAGCCGTAGCCTACCTTAAGGCCAATCGCGCGCTCTCCAAATCACTTTACCGAAGTTTTTCCTTTCCGAACAGTCTCAAAACGCTGCCCCGCTATCAAAAATAGAGTCACAACGTTACTATGGTCATTTAGACACCAAAATCACAACAAACAGAGACGGGTAAATTTTGGAGTCAAAACGGGAATCGTGGGACCCGCATCGAACTGTCCGAATTTGACTCCGTCAAGAGACCCTAAACAACACTCCAAACTTGTGTTCCAAAATGGAACACAATCTGAGGCTCAAAACACAGCAAAAACCAACAAGCAAGAAAACCCACTTTAATCTACTAAAAGAAACCCTACAGCAGCAGTCCAAAATCGAAATAAACGAAAATCAAAAGGTGCCCAGCACTCTTTAAACACTCTACAACGAAGTCACGACAATTCTCAACATGTGGGACTTTGAAGCACCCAAAACCGAGCTAAAATGAGTGAGATATGACCAAAACAAAAATTCCAAAAACAAGGACTCGAAAACAGTACATCAGTCAGGTTTTTCGCGAAATTACCTCAAACGGGAACCCCAAACCACTATCCGAGCTCACCAACGCGTTGCCCTCGAAAAATCTCACAACTTAGCCTTTTGAATCGCCCAAATCAGTTGAGAAATGAGAGAGTTAAGAGAGTTTGAAGTTTTGGAATTGTTGCTGAAAATCTGCATTATATTGCAGATTTTCTGCAATTTTTCCAAAACTAAAAACCCCGACGGGGTACTCCGATCTCGTTCGGAACCCCGTGCACGCAAACGAGATATGCAATCATACCAAATTCGATATTCCAGACTCAACGGCGCAGTCAAAATTTCCATCAGAGGTCATTTCGATAAAAAGTGGGTCCCACTTCCAAAGGCCATTTTAAGTCAAAACCCACAAAAGGGCTCGGAAAGATATCGAAAACCTCGGGACACAAAAGAAGGGTCAATTTAGACCAAACTCAACATTCCGGAGCTAACCGCACTGACGGAATTCTCATCCGAGCGCGTTTACTCAAAATGTTGACCAAAGTCAAACTTAAGCCAAAATTCAGAGGCTAAAACGCCTAATCACACCGACTCACACTGAAAACCTCGGGAGTCATGTCGACCGTGCTACTAGCCTAAAATGACCCTTTCGGAGCTGATGAGATCGTCAGAATTAGATTCCGATGTCATCTTCTTGAACTTTTGATCAAAAATGATCGTTCAAGGTTCAAAACCTCCAAAACACAAAAAACTCACACCAAGACCAAACGAACGACCAGGTGACCGAACTGTCAGTCCCGGCAAGTCGTAAATGACTTGGGGTCGCTATAGGAACGCTCTAAACGACACACAGAAGGCAAGACACAAAAATGACCAAGAGGGTCATTACAATTGATCACAAGTGTCAAGTGAACAATAAGAAGAGATAGAATTTTTTTTTCTATATATCTGATTCAACTTAGTTAGTTACATTAATCTAAGTTGCTTGAACATTGCGGGTGTTTGATACAGGTGCGATCCATAGGTCGGATATTCTATGATCTAAATTTTAAGATTCAGGGATACTGATCCATGTAGGGATACGGGTGCAAAGATTTGACTAATAATAATACAAATAGAGTAATAAAACCTAAATTATGAGATATTATGTGGAAAACTTGGGTTGATAATATAAATTTATATGGAAAGGGAGTGACAATAGAAATTTATATATACAAGGTATTTCATTCTCTAGACTTTCACCTTAGTTTTTGTTTTGATTACATTTTTTTTTTGAATTTATCCAGAATTTCTCCCTTGAATTTGGTCAAAGTACCCAAATCGATTGACCAGATCACCCACATCATCTCAACATTGGTGCGACACTAAACGTGAAGAGTCCGAGCAACTAAGACATTAATGACAATAAAATTATAAAATATAAAAATAAGACTTCAACATATTTTCTAAGAGTGATGTACTACTTGAATTGTCATTGAAAGTAGTGGTTACCTAATTGATCCAAAGTTGGTTAGTATTTCCAATGATCATAATTCCTCCTATGAACAAGGCCTTTTAGTTTGTAATGGTACTTACTCCTCGATTAGTTCATCGAATAGCATAAATAATCTTGTCGATGGGTTCTCGGACTCCCCTGTAAGCCCTTTTGTATATATATAACAATGGACACCCGATTTGAAACTTTAGGGAAGGAGTGGAAGAAGCAAGGGAATTCCTCCTTAATAATAATAAGTTTTTGGGCAATAATGTTATCAATTACTTGCTGCCTCAGGAGAAAAAAAGGACAAAGTGGTTTAACAGCAACTCAAATAGAGAAAAGGGATGAGGAAGAGACTTCACTTATAGGCCCGAGAGGGAGAAAAAATCCTCATAGAGATGAAAAGGATTTTAGAAGAAGAAAGAAATAGCAAGCAAGCTATAGTTTATACAAAATTCACAGTTCATTCGGAAGAGTTCGATGTAATTTTGTTGCATAACATGGGCTATAAGGAAGCATTGCCAGCTTATCGCGAGAGCTTGAAGAATGTTAGAACGAAAACCACAACACAGAAAGGGAAATCAAAAGGATTTCATGTAGGGAAGGATGACCATGAGAAGAAACAATGTAATAAAAAAAGAGTCGTAAATTTAAGGTCTCTACTAATGAATTGTGCACAGGTTATTGTTGTCGATGATTAGCACACAAAAGAACACTCCATTCTATATAATTAAATCTAAATTCATATTTTCTCTAATACAATCCAACATCATATAATATTGCTAGTTTTAGCACTGACGAATGTCTGTAGGGTATACCTATATAACAGAAAAAACAAAATGTACATAGATCGTACTAATATATCTACTTGTAAAATTTGATCAGTATAATAGAGTGAAGAGAAATGTCTTAACTGAGAATCAAGCTGATAATGCCATGAAACAATATATCATAATGTAAAGACCAAATAAGCAACAAAATTAATTACTCAATAAGTATCCATGAGGTTTCAAATATTAGTTGCATAATTATGAATGCATATATTTGTAGCATAGCATGCCAACAGAGAAGAATACATATAAATGTCGGACAAGAATTTCTTACCAAAGTTATACTGGCACCAGCCCACTGTATCCAAGAATTGTTTGGAAAGCTGAAGAAATCATTATAGCTCCCTGCAACTCCTTTATGATTTGTTTGAAATTATACAAATAGGAGAATATTATTCATAAATGGTTATGGTAGTAATACGATAAAACAAATTGAACACACATTATTCTTACCTATCTTTATGATATGTCAATATTAATCTCAACACTGCCTCGATGATATTAATCATAAAAAGCTATTAGCACTCTCTTTACCAGTCATTTCGATAAAATTATATGATATTAAATAGCATTTTTCATTACTATGTAATGAGTGAAAAAAGTTCATAATATTTTCATCACTTAACAAACCACATCACAATATATGATCATTCAAACTTCTTTACTCTCCGCAAATCATAACAAATTAAATGAGCATCAGTTGTTGTATTAGAAAAGAAAAAGATAACTACATATACCAATTAAGAAGCCTTCTTGTTATTTTTCTTGTTTAAATTTTTTTAAGAAAAAAATTATAATCTAGAGTTGTCTAAGTCTTTGATCAGATCTATTCAATCCAATCATAACCTATTTTCATATGTGCTTGGAAAATCTTCATTTAGTTTCATTATGCAATATAAAAGTTAAAAATTAAAAAAATAAACATCCAATGTAATGGTATGTTCTGCCCTTAAGCAAATGCTCTCCTACTTAGTAGCTAGTACTTGCTTTGAATTTTTCTTTCATTAATCAAGATAGACACTTTGTAATTTATTTTATCGCTAAATTTATGGAAATGTAAATTCAAAGTTCCAACTTCCACACTAACCTCTTCTATCGCATGCTTAACTCTATCTAATTACAAAAATCAATTTAGATAAGATAATAAAGCCCTCATACAGATTAACAGAAAAAATAAAATAAAAGTTGGACAAATATTGAATGAGGAGTAGAACTGAAACAATCAACACCCAACTAAGAAGTTTTTTTTTTCGTAGATCACCAACTAAGAAGTTGAATGAACTGAAAAAGTATTATCTAGAATATAAGAAGATTAAAAAAAAAAGGATAAATCAATCGTCTCTCTGCAAACATGAAAAAAGTTGAAAGAAAAAATACATGAAAATGTACCATTCAACTGCGGAGATGAAGAGAATTGAAAGAGTATCTTGAAATCTGAAAGAGATTATAATAACTTAGGAAGAAATCTTTTTTTGTCTGCTAGCAAAACAACATCAATTACAACTGAGAAAATAGCAAGGAAAATCCTACTTCTCCTCAACCCAAAATTTCAGTTTCAGGTTTTCTCAACCCAAAATTCCAACCTACAACATCAACTAAGAAATTTCGAGAAGAAGATTTGAGCGGAAATTGAGAGGAAACCATACCTTAAATTGCAAGAAATTCTTTAAATTTATTTAAGGAGAATTGGCATAGTACTCCTCTCTTCTATTGGAAAATGAAACGAACGTTTATAGAGTATATATGTGTGTCCTCTAATGGAAGAACTCTGGAAGCTCCCAGAATGAAAGAGACAGTTTCAGTCTCCAACTTGAAAATATCATGGAGTGAAATTATTATCTTTTTTAAAGAACAATTGAAAATTAAAAGATGCTTCTACGGTAATAGCCAGACATTTACTATTTTGCCCTTCAATTATATCAAATTTTTCAGAATTGCCCTTGGTCGTCCTGGTCGTCTTCACCCTTCTATATAATAGAAAAATGAGTGTCTCAATACTAAAGATGAAGGCTCTGTTATACCATTAAACACGAGCACAACAGAACATAGAAATCTCAATTATCCATAATCTAAGAGAGATAATTTTAAGAAAATAGAAGATAGAAGAAAACACACAGTTCTGATTTTTTTTTATCAATTCATATTTTTGGAACGACCTAGGGTTGTAATATCCAATTAAGAAAGTGAACAGAAGCCATCTTTGAATATTTGAAAAGGACTGATTAAGAGCAAGAAAAAAGAAATGATCACTCAAAATTGAAAATTGAAAAAGTTAACCGAAGAGATTTAAGCAAAAATGTGAATAAAACATACCTGGAAACACTCTCAACCGTTTAGTCTTGAAAATCTAAGAAAACTGATGCAAATGAGATATTTATTTATTTTCATTGGAAGAGTGGAGAAAGATGTAGATGCTTCTAGAGTATTAAAAAAAAGGAAAAGTTACTTAAATACACAACACTTCTTTACCTATTCTCAATATTTCCCTACTCCTTTACTAAAATACAAAAATCCCTTATTTTCCCCCAATTCAACTTAACCGGATACTTTATTAGTTTAAGTATCCGCCCGTTATTAATTAAAGTATCCGCGCTGCTATATTATGCATCCGCCCGTTAATTAAGTATCCGTGCTGCTAACAACTTAATAATTTAAGTATCCGTCCGTTATTAATTAAAGTATCCGCGCTGCTATATTATGCATCCGCCCGTTAATTAAGTATTCGTGTTGCTAACAACTTAATAATTTAAGTATCCGCCCGTTATTAATTAAAGTATCCGCGCTGCTATATTAAGTATCCACACTGCTATATTATGTATCCGAAAAACACTAAAAAGAGGGATTTTTGGTAATTAATGAAAGAGTAGGGAAAGGAAGTAATTTCTTTCTTATACTATGTCATTTGCCTAATTTTTACAAAAAAAAAAATAGAGCCTTGATTTGAGCATGAGTGCACGGATATCAACAAATTTTAGTATAGTAGTTATAATTTGCCCTTGTATATTTGATTTAATATCCCTTTTGCCACTGGTCGTTGGTCGTCTTCACATATCTATATAGATAGAAATATATATATTACTAAAAAGTGGGAATAAAAGTAGTTGAAATTTGAAATATCATTTTCCCCCTATACTAGATTAAAATATTATAAATATTTAGTTAATTACATGTTTAAATATTAGTGATAATCAATTATTACATTGAGTAAATGGAGAGTTCATGTGTTCAAAGGAGGATACTTTCCAGATTTTAATGGAGGTTCGTTGCATATATATAATAATCTTAAAGTTGCTCTGTTTTATCTATTTTGGCCCTTTGAAACCTTCAAATAGTATTTAATTTAAAATTTTATGATGTCTTTTGGTATTCCTCTATCTTTATCTATATAAATTCATCTTTTTTGTTTCATGAAACTCACATCCAAAATTATCTTTTTCATTTTATTGTTAAAGTAGTGAAGCCATCAACATCTAAGTATATGATATATCTACCTTAGTCTGATTATTTATCACTTTACGAAAATAAAATAATTTTTCTAATTGATTCATGCTTTAGTTTGACTCGATGGAGAAGACTTTTGAATTTTGATTGGATATGAGAGAAGGTGTCGACAAAAACTTGGAAAATTATGTACCAATTTTGTATTTCTTTTTTCATTTATATAATGTTATGATTAAAGTCTTAAGAAGGATGCATATGTTATTATTATTTTTTCTATGTTTATTTTTTTATATTTCTCTATTAGTATTTATTTAATTCAATTTTCTATAAATTATTATCATAACATTTATTTGAGATTGTTGCATTACATGAGGCACTAGAAACTAGTTACTTTAATAAAAGCAAAAAATTATTTACTAAACGAACACGGAGATATGTGCTTTATGGATGCTCATGTGATATGATTTGCTAGATTGTATAAGAAATTAAGAATATTTTGATAATTTTTTCAATTTGTAAATTTTCATGTTTTAGGAGAAAAAATAGGAAGTTAAGAAATTCAATTACGATGTTACTTTGACTATGAGGTTCAATCATTGTACTACTATTAAACAAATGGAGGTCCAAAGCAATTCTGCAAGTCTTGTTTTTTTCTTTGGTTGAAAACATTGACTTGTCTGGTTGTGAATTTTGCTAGCCTAAGATCCTCAATTCCAGTTTCTTGAGCTTTGCTCTATGGCTAGTGAATTCAAGTCTCAAGTGTTCTTGAGTTTCAAAGGCAATAATACTTTCGCAGATCATCTCTATGAAGCTCTAGCTGGAGCAGGTTTTGTAACATTAAGAGGTGGCGATGGAAACGAGGGAGGAGAAGAAATCAAATTGAAATTACAAAAGGGTGTTGAAGAATCAGGGATTTCAATTATAATCTTTTCAAATGATTATGTGTCTTCAAGTTTGTGTCTTGATGAGTTGGTAATGATCTTGAATTGTAGTAAAAGGAGATCAGTTCTGCCAATATTTTACCATGTGGATCCTTCTGATGTTAGGAAACAAAAGGGGAGAATTGGAGAAGCATTTGATAGGCATGAAGAAGCTAAGGTTAGAAAATGGAAGGAAGCACTCAAACAAGTTGCAGATTTGGGAGGAATGGTCTTACAGAACCAAGCTGATGGGTGAGTTCATTAACTTTAAATACACTTTGAGAAATGTTTCATTATGAGTTTATTTTAAGCAAAAGTATCTACTTTGTTAGAGTTGGAGCAAATTGTTTTTGATAGGGAGCAATCCTTATTAGAAAGAGAGAGGAACTTAACATTGCTAAATATAATTTGCCTTCATTTATGAACTTAACATGTCTTTATCTCAAGTCTTTCTGATAACAATTTCTGGACACTCTATTAGGAGTGTGTTCCCAGTATTCATGTTGCATGCTTTAGTTCTCGATTCCACGAACTCACAGAATAACTTTGTGTTGGTTACTTTTCCATTTTGTTAAAACATTTCAGACATGAGTCAAAATTCACACAGAAGATCCTTAAAGTGGTTGAGAATAAACTGAGCAGGCCAGTCCTGTATATTTGCCCTCATCTGATTGGAATAGAACGGCGTGTTGAAAAGATCAACTCATGGCTAGAGGATGGATCTACTGATGTTGACACTCTTGTTATCTGTGGCATTGGTGGAATAGGCAAGACAACAATGGCAAAGTATGTGTATAATTTGAACTATAGTAAGTTTGATGGTAGCAGCTTTTTGTCCAACATTAGAGAAAATTCAACACACCATAAGGTTTTGTTACTCTTCAAAGGCAATTTCTTTCTGATATTTGCAAGAGAAAGAAGAAACCTATGTTTTCTGTGGACGAGGGAATGACTGAGATGAGAGATGCTGTAAGTTGTAAAAGAATCCTTCTTGTTCTTGATGATGTTGATAGTCGTGACCAATTGGATGCTCTACTGGAAATGAAGGACTTGTTATACCCTGGAAGTAAAGTCATAGTGACAACTAGGAACAAGAGATTGCTTAGGCCTTTTGATGTGCATAAGCTTTACGAGTTTGAAGCTTTGAATAGAGATGAATCAGTTGAGCTCTTAAGTTGGCATGCATTTGGTCAAGATTGTCCTATTAAAGGTTTTGAAGTGTGTTCAGAACAAGTAGCAATCCATTGTGGAGGACTTCCATTAGCACTTGAAGTTCTTGGTGCTACTTTGGCAGGAAGAAACATAGATATTTGGAGAAGTACAATACAGAAATTAGAAACAATTCCGAATCATCAAATTCTCAAGAAATTAGCAATAAGTTATGAATCTCTGGAGGATGATCATGATAAAAATTTGTTTCTCCACCTAGCTTGCTTTTTCATTGGGAAGGACAGAGATTTAATAATAGCTATTCTCAATAGGTGTAACTTTTACACTGTAATTGGAATAGAGAATCTCGTTGACAGAAATTTTGTAAAAATTAGTGAGTCTAACAGGTTGATTATGCATCAAATGATTCGAGATATGGGAAGAGACATTGTTCGCCAAGAATCACCAATGGAGCCTGGGAAACGCTCTAGACTATGGCGCTCCAAGGATTCCTATAATGTCTTAATCCAGAACCTTGTAAGGAATTCTGTCTCATATGGCTGATAGTTTATCCTTTGTTGAGATTAGAGTTATTCATGTTGTTTCAGTAGTCAACATAGTTCTCATTAAGTTTAATGAAATGGGTTGAAGATGAGTACCTTTGCCTTTATTCATCATTTTCTGTCTTCTATCTGAACAGGCCACTCAAACAATTCAGGGCATTATCCTTGACATGGATATGCTCAAGGAAAATGACATAATTAGATCAAGCTTTTCTCCCATTGATTTCAAGAAACACAAAACAAAGAACTTTCTCAACTATCCTAATCCTCAGAGAGGTCAATGGCATTTGTCAGATGCCAAAGAAGTCACAAATGAGCTGGTTCTGGAAACTGTTGTGTTTGAAAAAATGCAAAAGTTAAGACTGCTCCAGTTCGATCACATTGAGCTTCAAGGATCTTTTGATGTTTTTCCTAAGAGATTAAGATGGTTGCGCTGGTCAGAGCTGCAACTAGAATGCATGCCAATTGATTTTCCTCTGGAGAGCCTTGTAGTGATTGAATTACAACGTAGCAGATTGATGAAAATTTGGCATGGAGTCAAGGTGTGCTAATAATGTGTTTCATTCTTTAAGGTGTTGCAGAAACTTAGTTTTATCTAACTTTGTGTTCATTTCTATCTTTTGTCATTCAGTTCCTTAAATATCTGAAGATTTTCGATCTCAGCCATTCCTACGAGCTTCTAAGAACACCTGATTTCTCTGGACTACCCAACCTTGAGAAATTGATCCTTCGATATTGTACAA